AACAATGGTGTCAGAGCAGGATAGCGCTGGGCGAGGCTTCCAAACTCCGCATTCCAGCAGCCTCCTTGTGTTCTAAAGGCAGCAAAACAAAGTCACTGCAGAGTCCAGGCGGCGAACTCCCTCGGCCCAGGTTCCTAACGCCACAAACCCCGGAAGACAAGCGCCAAAATCAAACAGGAATGCGCACAAAAGCACAGCAAGCACAGCAAGAGGTGGCGGCCACGCCAAGTGGGTGCAAAGGCCGAACGTAGATGAATGTACCCGAGCAGAAGGAGAGCGGGAGAGAGGACAGTGTGCGCGGTTGTCAACCTGCCACCAAGCGGGAACAAGGGCTTTGTTTTGGTTTTAGCATCGGGCGCAAACCCGACCGAACTGCGAGGAAAACAGACGCGGAGAAAGGTTCCCGCCCCGCCCCGCCCCGCAGGCAGCTTCCAGAAGAGGTCAGAGGGGAGAGGGAGGCCGTGGCGGTCCAGCGTGGACATGCCCGGACGAGGTGCGCGGGACCATGGTGGGTTCCCGGGGATCCCGAGGGGCTCGGGCGTGCGGGGACCACGGCGGGGCGGCCTGCGCTCACCTCCCGGCGTGGTGGAGAACAGCGTCCCCCCGGGCGTGGTGCAATAGTCATGAGGTAGCTGCGCGGCGTCGCTGATGGGGACGGTGCGGGTAGGGATGGCGCGGCTCTGGCTGGGCTGGTGACCGCTGCCGGTGGACGAGGACATGGCTCTGCGCGCGGGCTCTCCGGCTTTGTCCGGCGGGCGGCGGCGGCGGGGATGCGGGGCCCGGGCTGCTCCAACCCTTCCTGCAGGCGGAACAGCGAACGGAGCTGGGCGCGCTCCGCTCCCTCCTCGCTAGCTTCCTCTCGCTCCGCTCCCGCCGCCGCCCTCTCAGCCGCCGCCGCCGCCGCCGCCCGTCCCTCCGGCCTCCGCCAGCAGCTCCAGCAACAGCAGGAGCGGCAGCAGCAGCGGCGACGAGAACAACCGGAAGCGGGCGAAGGCGGGAGCCAGAGGGAGTACAGGGAAGCAGGACGGCCGGATGTGACGTTAGGGCGGGACGCGCCTCGGGGGCGTGGTCTGTGCGTTGAGTGGGGGGGGCCGAGGGCAAGGTGGCACTTAACCCTTACCAAGTAGTTAGACAGGTTTGGGCTGGTAGTCTGCGACCCAACCTTAATTTATGCCATCTGTGTTATACATATGCCTTTGAGCTGTGGTGCTGGAAAAGATTATTGAATATACCATGAACTGCTACTTCTAGCAGTTTTATCCTAGAGAAGATGAGATCCGGCTGCTCCTTGGAGGCAAGGATTCTGAAGCTCCATCTGACATACTTTGGGCATGTTGCAAGGAGGGGCCAGTTCTTGGAGAGTGACGTCATGCTTGGGAGGGCGGAGGGACAGCACAAGAGAGGAGACCTTCAATGAGATGGATTGATTCAGTGACTGGGGTAGTGGGGGTAGGCATGTCAGAGACTATAGGATTGGTACAGGATAGAGCAGAGTTTAGGGCTGTTGTACAATATAGGGTAGCTATGAATCCCAGGTGAATCGATGGCACATAAAAACAACACCACCAACAATAAGGAGCGCTGGTGGCCTAGTGGGAAGAAGCTGCGCTGCAATCCCAAAGCTACACAATTCAAATCACCAACTACTCTATGGGAGAAGGATGGGCAGTCTCCTCCCGTGTATAAACGGGGTCTGAAAACCCGCCAGAGGGTCAACTATGAGTCGGTTCCGGCTCGACGGTACTCAATAACAACAACAACAGCCCATCAACAAACGAATGGATAGAGAAGCTGTAGTATATTCACACAGTGGAATACTATGCTGCACTGAAAAACGAGGAACTCATGCAATATTATTCAAAATGGGTGAGCCTGAAGAACATTATGCTGAGTGAAATATCTCAGTCGCAAAA